ACTGTGGTAGGAAGGTAGTAAGAAGTAGGTCCTTACTTAAGGTAGTAAGGTAGTAAGGTCCTCAAGAGACCAGGCTCTGGAGACAGACCACCCTGTGGTCATTTTTGGTTCCACAGCTCACTGGCTATGTGGTCTTATAATTTCTGTGCCCCAATTTCCTCATTTGTAAGAAGAACACTCTAAGTGTTCTTACATAAAAAGGTCAGAGAATTAACTAAAATAATATAGGCCATGCGTTTACCACTATGCTTGGTACATAGTGCTCCTACTGAGCAGCTTTCAATAAGTACTTCTCTTATTTTACTACAACTATAACTACTACTACTATTACTACCTATCTTAAACAAATCAACAGCAAATCATGTCTGATAGGTTAAGGACTTAAGCAAGGTAAAATGCAGTCCAAAATATTGGCATGTTTCAAACATGGCACCTCCTGGAATTCATGACATATCATGATCCAAGGTAATTGTACTCTGAAAGACTGAGAGAATTCCTGAAATGCATCCCGGGGTCCCAAGGCATTCTGGGAATCCCCACGAGTCCTCCGTTATTATCCTATCCCCAGGTACCCTCTCCACTGAGATATGCTCCAGTTGCAGACCAGCTTTGTAGCTCAATGATTTCCACACATTCACTGAGAGCCCAGGAAAGGATTTCTCTTATTTACTGGGATATACAATTTGGTGTGTACATAAACAGCTTTTCCTCATTCCTCAAACCATCTCCCTAGTCTATTATGAATGATGACAGGCATCCTAAAAAAGGAACACTCATTCTAAAGAGAATAAGGAAGTGTTTCACAAGAGTAAAGGAAAGAGCACTGGATTAAAGTTTAGACTCTACTGTTGATTTAGTGTGGATGTCTTAAGATCTCTGGCATTGTTCTCTCTTACAAAATAGAAGTTATATCTACTCAGTCAACTTCGCAACACTGGCATGCAGGTCAAGTGAAAAAACAAAACATAGAAGCACTGCATAAGTGCCAAATACTTTATAAGATATTCATGATATCACTATATGGGCCATCATTTTTCTCAAAGGATGAAAGAGACCTACAAGATTTTCCAAATTCGAAGAATATCACTTATAGCATATAATTTTCTTCATCATCACTTTTTTTTTTAAATCACTTTTACCACTTCTCAGAGCTATTCTGGGGATTAAACAAGATCACATTTTTGTTTATTTATTTATTTATTCATTCATTTTGGCATTTTTAATTAGAGAGAGAGAGAGCACATGGGGTGGGAAGGGGCAGAGGGAGAAAGAAAGAGAATCTTAATTAAGCAGGCTCCATGCTCAGCACAGAGCCCAACACTGGGCTCAGTCTCACAACCCTGAAATCACAATCTGAGCTGAAATCAAGAGTTAGACACATACCCAACTAAGCCACCCAGGTGCCCCTAAACAAGATCATGTTTTAAATGGAAACACTAGCTTTGTGCAGTGGCAGTATCGTAGTCAATGAGGTTTATCTGAGGCATGATTATTGCTAATTAAATGGAAATACTAAATTCAGCCTGAGGTAATAACAATAATATTCATAGAATCTGTACTACATGCCAGGCATTATGCTTGGAATTTTATATGCCTAATCCTATTCAGTTTCTTAAAACAGCACTTCAAATGAAAAAGCTCAGTTGTCCTTGTTATGCTCATGAGAAAATTAAGATTCAAAGGACTTAAATAACTCACACAAATCCTCACAGTCAATGTCAAAGCTGAGATTTGGGGTGCCTGGGTGGCTCAGTTGTTAAGCGTCGGCCTTTGGCTCAGGTCATGATCCCAGTGTCCTGGGATTGAGCTCCGTATCAGGCTCCCTGATTGGCAGGAAGCCTGCTTCTCCCTCTCCCTCTCCCTCTTCCTCTCCCTCTCCCTCTCCCTCTCCCCCTGCCTGTGTTCCTGCTCTCGTTGTCTCTCTGTCTGTCAAATAAATAAATAAAATCTTAAAAAAAAAAAAAAAGCTGAGATTTGAACTCAGGTCTGCTCCTCTCAGCTATATGGCCAGGGCACTTTCTTCATTCTCTCCTGAATACCAGCTTCATGGGGCTAATAATGGCATTGTGAACCTACAGGGACATCCTTAAATAGGACAACCATCTATCTGTAAATACTAAAGACCTATAAGATTTTGTGTAAATAGCTATTTAAGCATTCTTCAATAGTCATTATTTCAATTCCTACCTTCTATAATACCAATTATTTTTGCATCATCTTTATCTAGCAATTAGGATAAACACTCTGCCTGACTAAATATATTAAAATACTCATATACACAAGTTTGAGAATCATATATAATATCCAAATACACATCTTTGGAGGTACTATATCTTAATGACACCAAAAGAGTTGCATTGATTTTGAAATACACTTGGCATTCAAAGACAGAAAAAAATAAAGGAGAAGTTATACAAGATAAAGGAAAGAGCACAGATTTAGGCCAATCTGGGCTTATAAGTCCCAGCTCCACCACTTACAAATTTTTTGACCTGACAAAGTCAATCACTTATTAGAGTTTCTATTTCTTTATCTATAAAATGAGAATACTAGCACATACCCCACCTGGCTGTCATAAAACTTTAATTTAATAGTACAAAATGTGTAAAGCTTCTAGGATTGAGCTAGATAACTTTTCTCTTCTATGCCAGTAAGAGATAGCAGTATGACAGTGTTCACAAATGAGGCCATGAGGAAATAGTTTCACAGTTGCAGTAAAACTAAATAACCTATCGTATACCTGTTTAGAACACCTGTGCCCAGCCACACCTACAAAGAAAATGAAAGACCAGAAAAGTATTTCCCCGAAGAATTCATGGTAAGTGTAACTGTGACACAGCCCAAGACTCATTAGCACAAGGAGAGTATGTGGACCAGATTTGTAAAACAAAATGTGTACTGGGGAGTAGAAATGTAAAGCTACTCTCTTCCTTACCCTCAACTTAGCCCAACAGATTGGGACCTTGTCATTCAAAGACACAGTTAGGAGAGTGGTTAGAAGTACCAATCATGGGTCGTCTGGGTGGCTCAGTTGGTTAAGCGACTGCCTTCCGCTTACGTCATGATCCCAAAGTCCCAGGATCTAGTCCTGCACTGAGCTCCCTGCTTGGCAGGAAGTCTGCTTCTCCCTCTGACCTCTCTCCTCTCATCCTCACCTCTCTCATTCTCTTTACTCTCTCTCTCTCAAATAAATAAATAAATGAAAAATCTTAAAAAAAGAAAAGAAAAAAAAAGAAGTACTGATTACAGAGTCAGATGGATGGAGGTCCAAAGTCTGATCCTCTCACTCACTAGTTAAATGACCAGGGAAGTTGTATAACCTCTCTAATCAAAAATTCCCTCTCAGGAATAACAATGATAAACTCAGGAAAATATCTATTTATAAGGTAGTATAGAAGGAAATGAAATTCACATGTAGATCTCTCAGCACATACGTGATAAGTAAAGAAGCACTTATAACTTAATGATGATGATGGTAACTGATATGGAAGGTTTGCTGCCTGAATGATACTCAGAACCTACAGTCCTAGGGATTTGAGTAAATGTAAAAAAACAAAACAAAACAAAAATCAAGGAGTGCCTTTCTGGGCTGGAGTAAACCAATGGTTTCTAGAGTCATTTGGATAGTCCATCCTTCCCTCAAAACTCCCAGCCCAGCCAGGAGTTCTGGACAGTCAAAGTTACTCCTAGGTGGTGTAAGAAGTAAAGGACATAGCTCAGCTCCAAACCTGCTCCACAGGTAATTCTGAAACTTTGGGTCAAGGTTTGGAAAATCCCTAAACCCCACTGATAAACACAGTGTCAACCAAATGGTTTACTTCCAGAAACACTTCAACATATTTGCTCTCAGGGAAATGAAAGTCCCACATCTAAAATTGGCACCCAGAGATCCCTTGTGAACTCAACACGTCAGTCCTCCCCTTCTGCACCCTCCCAATACAATTAGATGGTTGTCTCTATGATTTTTACATTTCTGCCCTTGTTAAAATTCCCAGGGGCTTGCTTCCAAATATGTTGATGTTGTTTGACTTTAAAATAAAAGATTAGTATTAGGGGCCCTGGGTGGCTCAGTCAGTTAAGCCTCTGCCTTTGGCTCAGGTCATGATCCCAGGGTCCTGGGATCAAGCTGGTATGGGGCTCCCTGCTCAGCAGAGGGGCCTGCTTTTCCATCAGCCTACCCCTCCCCCTGCTGTGTTCTCCCGCTGTCAAATAAATAAATAAAATCTTTAAAATAAATAAATAAAATATCAGTATGAAAGCAGGTTTAACTAAGCAAAGAAAACAAAGAAATCTCAGATGAGTAAAAATCAGATCTGAAGATCTAAAAGGAAAAAATATTAGTATCAGAGATTATTCACACTTAATTGATACAGGTGATACAGCCATCAAATTACTGTTGAACCAACATTAGATCTTAATTTACTTAAAACATTTCTATACTGTTACTGCAGCAGTCCCCCCCACCAGACACACACCAGGGCAAAAGAATTTACTGACATAGTAAAGTATTATTTTTTTAAAAATCTCAGTTGCTTAAAAATCTCAGTTGATTAAGGGTCAAAGGATGATTTCTTTAGACCTGCGAAACAACGCAATATAAACATTTCTAAATAGACATTACTCTGTTTCACACAAAAGTAAAATTCTACGTTATAATCTCTCAATTATGATTTCTATAAATTCACTGTGATAACTTTATGCAGTTCAGTGTACAGAGGAATTAGGTCCAACATTTAGTATATCATGGACTCATGCTAACTGCAAACTTAGGAACACATTAATGCGTTGATATCAGTCAGGAAAAATGTCCCTATATTTTTTTAAAGGAAGATACCATATTATCAACATATCTATAGAAGCGGTGCTAAGTCCTCTTCACTGATCATAACACGCGTACATTATGTACATTTGTGCTACGCGAACATCCTTACCTGTAGTACCTGAGAAAGTGTCTTGGAAAGCATCACAGAGATTCCCTGCTTGAGAACCATTTTACTCACCATCCTTTAATTTTTTTGTAAAGGCGATGCTTCTTGTATAAGAGAACTTTAACAGGAACCCATACCAGTAGAGTCACAGAAGCCACATAGGCAATGGAACAGGAAACAATGAGCCAATAATGCGTTTTCCCGAGGCCACCTGCTTTCTTTTGATAGGCAGTGGCAAATTGTTCCATGATCACCAGCGTGGGAGTGGCAAAAGCAACAAACTCAAGGAGCTCGAAAATCAGGAACTTGATGAGTCTTCCAGAAGCCAACCTGAGAAAGGCAGGCTGCTGGTGATCAAACATTCCTGCTTGGGTTGTGAGCAGCGTATGGACACTGATACTGAGCGAGGATCCAGTTCCTTGTCCTGAAATCACTAATCAGTGACTTTTTATTCTTTTATCACCCTCCCATGGTTCAATGATCTTCCAACTTGCTGAGCGAGGTCTCTTAAAAAAACAGAACAGTTGTGGAGATGATGACTTAATGTGTTTGCACGTCCATTATTCAAAGTCAAATGGATTTATGAATATGCTTTGCAGCGCTGGTAAGAAGCAGGTCTTTCAGTGTAGCTTGGATTGCCAACTTGAGCACACACACAAAAATTATGGAATACTTAACATTTGTTAAGTGGAACCATCAGAATCATATAATTTTAGAGTTAAAGGAGAAGAAGAGCTGTAATCCGATCCTCGATTTTTTATCTAAGCAAATCCAGGCAAAAAGAGATACCCAAAACCTGGGTCCTCATCAAGGAAAAGTACCCCTTATTTTTCTTCAAAGTGTTTGAAAAGGGAGTTTGGATTCACACTGCCAGCCTCCTAACCAGATTTCTTCCTGGTACCTGAACTATCTGTTCTTGCACATTAATTGTTATGTAACCCAGATTAATATTTTTATTTTGCTGGTGAGGGAACCAACATGTGTTGGAAACCTGTTTTCAGGATTGACGCCTTAAGAGCTGTCCATGTCTAGTCCGAAAGCGTATCAAATATTTAAAAGACAACAACCGTCTCCATGAATAGCCTTCTTTCAAAAACTACTTGGGAGCACCTACAAATGAGCACCTCGCCTTTGCTAGCTGCTGGAGTGTGAAGGTGAATGGACAGGAGATTTCTGCCCTAAAGATGCTCAAAGTCCAACAGACAAAACACACTTGGGAACGAGAAAAATCACTGAGGTCAGAAGTATAACCCAAGTGCTATGATAACACAGAGGAGAATTTCCTCTTCGGGCTGTGGGAAGGGGAGGGAAAGATGAGGAGGACAGATGGCAGGTTTTGGGGTGTCAGTAACATTCCAGATACAAAAAAAGAAGTCAGGAGGCTAGAGCGGTTATGAGAGTCTGGTGTCCCGTGGGAGGAAGTAAGGAAAGGTGATGTTAGAAGACGTCGCTGGGGTCAGAATATCAATGTTCCGAAGGATCTGGGTGTGGGTGCGGGGTGGGGTGGGGGGTCTGCGTGTGTGGGGTGTGTGTGTGTGTGAGGCAGGCAGCGATAAAGCAATGTTTTCTGGACAGAAGAGCCACTTCCTTGATATTTGGAAAGGGTGGTGAGTGCTGGTGTGGAGGAGGGACAGGAGCAGTGTTAACCTGGAGCTGGGGAAGCCAGGGGGGAGCCCCAGAGCCGCCTGGGCAGTGGGGAGAGCCTTGGCTGCAACGGATGAAGCAAGAGTGCTGAGGGGAGCACTGATTCTGATCCCTTCCACACACTTGCTTCCTTCGATGGCTTCCCCTGTGCCTCCTGGCAGCCTGAGGCGCGCCATTATTTCTCCGGGTTCCTCTCTCCCCAGGCAGGCCCTTTGCAGAAGGGGCCCTGCGCCGCCTGGCTCCCCAGGGATTCTGGTGCCCCTAGGATTCTGGTAGCAGCTCTGAGGATTACCTCCTCCTGCATGCCCTCTGCAACGCAGTCAGTCAGCCGGTTCTTCAAGCTAGCTATTTTATTTGAACTTGAACTTGCAATCTGCTGATGTTTTGTGGAAGTCCTCTCAAACAAATGAAGAGAGCTGGAAGACTGATACCGAGAACGTGAGAGGACAGGGTAGAAAAACCATGCGAGCACCATTTCTAATACCATATAATTGTCACTGATTCTCCGTGTCACCCCTGACAAAACTTTAAGACTGGATACAAACTAGACTCTAACCTCCTAGCCCTCTGTCTTGAGTCATAAGTGGTATGTTGTGTTATGATTTCTTCTAGAAATTTTGTGTATTAATAGGAATTGTGACCTGGGCATTTGAAGACAATTGTTGAATAAAATTGCCTGGAACCAAGCAAAAGGACTCTGGGCTAGGTCTTTAATTCCATTTTAAATACTCATTTTTTTTTATTTCCATGTGTGGGAATTTAAAAATGGCACTCATTTTATATTTCTCACATCTAATTTCCCTCCGGTTTTTTAAAATTTATTTAAGATTTTATTTATTTATTTGGCAGAGAGAGAGATCACAAGTAGTCAGAGAGGCAGGGAGAGAGAGAGGGGAAAGCAGACTCCCTGCTGAGCAGAGAGCTCGACGTGGGTCTCGATCCCAGGACCCTGAGATCACAACGTGAGCGGAAGGCAGAGGCTTAACCCACTGAGCCACCCAGGCACCCTTCCTTCCAGTTTCTAATCTCTCTTCACCTTCACCTTCAAAGACAGAGTTCGTGTGATAGGACCCGGAATTCTCTATGGCACAGAAAGCTCTGAAAAATAGTCGTGCTCTCTGAACAGGAAGGAGGTTGTGATGCTTGCTCACTACCCACAATAAGCTCATCTCCTGTAAACAAAAGAGCACCTGTGTTAGCATAGCTTATGAACATTTTCTACGAGCGGATCGTGGTAAGAGACACAGTTCTTCCTCACTTATGTCCCAGTTAGGGATATGTCACCAATGCACAGGTAAGACCTGAGAACATTGATGGACTGAGCTGGGCATGTCAGAGCTGTGAAGGGCTCTCCCGGGCACAGTCCTCCACACCCCTCTCCAGCCACATCTGGATGAACAGGCCCTGGTTCACAGAATGCCCCTGGTTCACAGAATGCCCCTCCGTAAGCTGGGCCACGTGCTCCAGTTTAGAAATCTGAACCAAGAAACACAGGGAGAATTTGGTAAGTGGAATTGCAGGAGGCCATGATCTGAAGTCCAGATTAAAGCGACCCAAACTCTACGTGTGGGCATCCCCCCTGGCATGTTGGGACACTCAGCACTTATTTGCTGAGTGAAGGAAGGAATGAATGGAAGTCAAGTGGTGAGGGGACAGAAGAGTTAGCACAGAAGCCAACACAGAGAGTGAGAAGACTGGAACAGAGATCAATAGCGAGAGGCAACCAAAAGGCTTACAGAATGGGGTCTTTGGTCTTGGCAACCAAAAGGGCTTGAGTACAAGAAAGGAATATGTTTCGGGGCAGGGGCCAAAGCATATACAAAAACAAGATGTAAGATGATTCAGAAGAAGGGACTGAAAAAAAAATCAAAGTAGAGTTGATCAGAGAGGGCTTCTTGAAGGAGGTGAATTTTGGCCAAATTGATTTTTCTACTGACTCAAAGCAATATCCATATGTAACTTTCTCTGTGCATTTAAGGACAATTTCTTTGAAAATTAGTCCTAAGACTGTTCATGATATAGAGAGTTAGGAGAGGGGTAGGAGAGAGTAGCAAACTGTAGATGCTATGTATAATAATGCGAATGGCACAATCTCGTTTTTGTCTTAAAATATCATCGCTGTGGATTGAAGCATAAATTAAAAATCCAGAAATACACTCCTCAGACTAAGAGTGCTGTCCCTGGGGAATGGGTGAGGTGGGGTGGAGGAGTTTTCACTCTCAATTAATTAATATTGGCATAACTGCGATATTTCACTAGCATAAAAATTTGAAAGTAATTACAGATTAGTAACAATCAATTAAACAAAGCAATTCTGGCTTAATAAAAACTTTATGTTCTTTTTTTTAAATCTTTCCTCCACCAGTTTGTTGTCCCTAACTTCTCAGCAAAAGCAACATAAATGAGTTGAAATTCCACTTATCCCTTAAATGGTAGCACTAAAGAGCAATGAAATAGCCAAGGGAAAGCAGAAGATGGGGAGAGCCTTGAATAACTGTTTGCCAGCTACACAGTGGGGACAGAATTTTATTGCCTATTCCTGATTGCACAAGACAGAGGGAAAAGCATAGCCTTCCTCCCGCAGGCCCCACTCTAAGAGTTTCCTCCCCTCTGAAACCCTTCCTTACTCTCCTTCTCCAAACAGAGGGAAGCATGTCCTCCTTTGAGTCAGAACACCTTCTGAATCCTTCTGGATCTGTCCACACTTGTACTGTAGCACTTGTCTCCCTATATAGTTCGGGCACTGGATCCCCTACAAAAGCTCCCTTTCCCCAGGGAAGCTCCCTGAAGGCAGAGAACACTTGCTTTCATCTTTGTATGGTTGTATCTCAGCATGGTGCTACCACGTAATGGGCCCTTGAAAGATCTCCTGGAAGGAATGGATGGAGATGAAGGGTAAGAGAAGTGGTGGGCAGTAGGGGGGAATGTGCCAAGCTTTGATAATGGCTAACTCATCTTTTATTCCAAGAGAATCCTGGCTCTCACACTGACCTTTCAGAAGGAGAAATCACGTATTACCTGTCCCAATACAATCTGTCCACTCAGCCTGTGAGCTTCAATTTCCTTGTGTGGTCCCAATTATAGCCCCCAGAACTCCTTCCTGCACAGCCATGGCTCTGTAAGGTCTCTAGAGGAGAGAGAAAACAAAGCCCCTAGGGAATGCAGTTTCTTCACCTCAAGATGCATGTTAGGAAAAGACCATGCTTCTTATTTATTTATTTATTTATTTATTTATTTATTTGACAGACAGAGATCACAAGTAGGCAGAGAGGCAGGCAGAGAGAGAGGAGGGGAAGCAGGCTCCCTGCTGAGCAGAGAGCCCAATGTGAGGCTCGATCCCAAGACCCTGGGACCATGACCTGAGCCGAAGGCAGAGGCTTTAACCCACTGAGCCACCCAGGCACCCCAAGACCGTGCTTCTTTACAAGCATTCACAAAGACTTAGGTCCCAGCGTTACAATATCTTTCCCAACCTTTTCTAATCTGTATGTCCTCAAAAATGCATATCCCATAATGGATATGAACCATTAACAAAGGAGGCTGGAGAGGACTGGCTGGTATTTGTCTGGACCAAGACATAGCCTCCAATTACTTAAGAGTCCTCAGCTCTTCTAAGGGATCTAAAATAGTCTAAAATTTCCGTAACAGATTGGGAGGCAGGGTAGGTTCCTTCACCAGGGATAGAGAACAAGCTAGCCTGGCAAAGAAAAGAATGCCA